AAGAATACCTAGTAAATGTTGACTATCAATCACATGTGTACATCAGTGTGCAGAAATTTATTTGCATGATTAGTGCAAACAAACATGTTGACATTAGTGAACTTCTTAGTATCACTGTTCATAGTTTTTAAGTCTACTTGCATTATATTCGTGTCTAAATTACAATTATTACTATTTGAAATAAATAAAAAAAACTGCATTCGAATAAGATTGTAATTGATAAACATGGAAAATTTAAATGTTTTATGTCACAATAAATCAAAGTGCTAATCTCACTATAGTAGTTATTCCTTTTTATCGACTTCTGCCTAAAAATTGTTTTTTTATAATTCTATAATTTTCCTTAAAAGCTTTGATTCTCTGTTAACTTTATCTCGTATCAATAAAGTATTTACTTTTCGGGAAGAAAATTTCCGTCTTTTATTTATTCATACTTTACTCGTTGATATTAAGGTGTTTATCTAGAGGAGCACGATTCAGTATTCAACTTCAGTAACTTCAGCTAAATATAATACTAGGTTTAGTTTAGAGCGTTTCAATTTATAAAAGTCTAGCATATTTGATAGTTGGTGTAAAAGCCTGAGTTTACAGTGAAAAATGATAGTTTCAAAACCTTACTGATAACTTAATTCATGATGAAGTATTAATTAGGATACTTTTATTACTCTTGAGTCTGGTTAATTAATTAGTGAGCATACTTAAAAAAATGAATAAAGGCATATCTGCATTTTCTCCATGTTAGATAGTTGGAAGTTAATGAGTTTTCTAGCCTTGTGGTCGTTTTACATGTTTGAGGCATAGAATTTTATTAGAAATCGCTGCTAGGACTCGTTACTGTCCAGTGTTTGAATCATGTCGGGATATCTAAACTAAAGGAAAGTACGAATTTCAACCTTTCGTCATAGGCTACTTTAATTTTTATCTTTCATAACTTATCTTAATCATGATTCATCGGAAGTCTAAATAGTTGAATACACCTTTTTAATTAGGAAAATTAAGCTGTCGACCAAACAATAGAGCTCTAGCTTACACTCCTAGTATGACCTTGATTCCATTACTCTGAACTTTTTCATTGTTTTGTGTTTAGTCATAAGAGCTAAAGGAAACGTAATTGATATGTGTAAGCATACTGCTTTTAACTTAGCCCATTCACATTAACATATCGGTGGTATAATAAGTCTACTAACTTGTTGACCAAATAAATTTGCTTCATAAACTGTTTATAAGTATTTTCAGGTGAAATAATTTTGTAAATAAATCCTTTTAGCGTAAGGTTATGCAACCTGCAATTGTTGTTTTTTAATACTATTTAGTTATCGAAATCTAGAATTATGGTTGGAATATATATATATATATTTCTTTATTTTAATGAATGAATGTTCTTCTAATCTACAAACAATCTGTTAATTATATTGAGTTTGAATAGATAATAGTTATTTACATAACGATGAGTCATCAAATGATGCATGTAAATGATGTACCGTAGCTACTTATTCAGTAATACTACTCGTTATCAATTATACTTACATTCTCTTTTTGTTTCTTAGCTTCATTCAAATATATTTTGTAAATTTAACAAGTATATCTAGATTGTATATTCTAATATATAGTATCGATTATAAAAATTAGTCTGATGAAAGAGTACATATAGATTTTAACTAACTGATTGACAGTGCGTATCCAAGACTTTTTCTTATTCAAATGAACTTTAGTTTTGTCTCAAAGTATAATTTCATATATAATGTATTCAAAGCAATAAATATTTCTATACTATGAACATCTGTTATTTAGTATTTTATCTCTTGGAATTATCACTATCAACAGAATGCAATACAAGGTAACATAAAGCATATCGACAAAATATATTGGAATTAAATATGAATACTGTTTATAGTACATACACTTCAATATATTTCAAACTCTTCAAAGGCATCAAAAAGGACTCATTTATTGAGAAAGAAAATTTTAGGTGTTTGACAGCAAATGCTTTATTAAACTACGATTAAATACTGAGTTTTGAACACTTTTCTCTTACAAACAGAATTATATAATTTAACTGCTACAATAAAATAAGCGTAAAAAAAGATAAATGTATTTCAATGAATAAAGTGTTAGTATAAAATAAAACTTTGGCGTGAGTTTATTCGTCTGTTTTCCAACGTTCAACATGTATTTGGAATTAATATTTCTGGGCATTTTTCCGTTCACTAAGTGGGTGTTACATGTACAAGTATAGGTTTCACCAAATCTGCTTATAACAAGCACATCAGTGTAGCAGATCTTAATATGCCTAATGTAAACAGAAATATTGTGAAGGTCAAGGCTTGCATTCAAATCTCTAACTAAAATTTTACCCATTGAATGAATAGAAATGTGCCCGACCACAGCTAGTTACTTTACATATATTGAACAGTGAAAGACATGAACAAACTTGTATAAAATTTCTACGGAAGCTTATATCGAACCTGTGAAATCAATTTTCAGCCATTACATTCAACCATCATTTGTTTAATTGACTTTGTCAGCTTATCAAGATTTTGTATGAGCTAAATGTAGTGTATCAGACAGAAGTTTGTGAAATATTAGTCAACACGTCAATATCTTGATATATTTATCTTTGACATGTTCTTTAGAAGTTAGTGAAAATTTAGTGTGGTTCAAGTGAACAGTCTGGGCTTCTCAAAAATGAAATAAAACTAATATTCCTGCGATAGTGTTACAAGTTAAAAAATGAATATTCTACATAACTCATATTATTTGGTTTTATCATAACTTTAGCGTTTTGGTAAATGCTGTGCATAGCTTGTTATTTTTGAAACATTTTCCTAAATATTGAAAAATTTACAGTACGAAGGAAAAATAAATTCACTATAACAGCCAAATCTAAGTTAAATTTTAATCGAAAATATTGAAGAATATCTAGACATTCGAATGAAAAAAATTATGCCAGGTGTATTGTGAGTAAATTGAACGCTTCTAACATTTGGATACAATCGATAAAATTGACTTTCCCAGCATTTTTTAAATCAGCAAAGCAATTAATGGCTAATTCATTTTACTTCAAATCTTTAAACGTATTAGATTATTGTAAAATTTTTATATAACATCCACAAGTTAATTTTTATCTACATGTAAAATGGTAGATATTCATTATTGGAACTGATTGAATAATATCATCACCTTGAAAATAAAATGACGTGAAAGATAATATTTCCTCAGTTTTATAAAATGGCAAACAGTGAAATATTAGAATGTGTTCTATCTTTTATGAAGCTTCGCATGTAGAAATAAATATCAGGCAGAAGTAGACTGAGAATAAACTTTTACTTATTTGAGTGAACAACAGATTAGACAAAGAAGTATTATTAAGTAGTTACTAGTTACGCTTGTTTTGCAAATGGATTTCTGAAAGTAAGATGGACACATTTTGACTAATAAACTCTGTCTTCCTCAGATTAATCGCTTATCCTATCTGGTCTTCCTCTTCGTTTATTAAACTTAGCTCAGCATTGACCTTCAAAATCGTGATCGAAGCTTTTTAGTAAATATGTGTTGTGCGTAAGATTAAATTTAGCTTTTCCTCATGTTTATTTATGGTTTTTCCTATTAGACATCACAATTTTGTTTCTCCTGATATAATTACCAAATTAAACCTATGTAGAAGGCAGTTTGTAAATTTCAGAAGACGAATAAATTCCCACACCAGTTTACTATGAATAAATGACTTCAAAATACAAAGGTTGATAGAATACAACTAAAAAGCCTATGAACTGATATGACAAACAGTTTATTTGGTGTTATTATCAACCGCAAATATTTAATTATAATTTTAATCATAATTAACCTAATTATACAAGTGGACTGAAGATTAAATTTAAAAAAAAAACACTTGATTTTTGCCTCCGCAAAAAAAACAATCAATAGAGTTACAGCCAAATAATCGGTTTCATTTTGAAATGTGGTCGAATTTCGAAACTTTTAAATTTCGTATCAATGAGGCAAATATGCCACTATTCCAAGAAACAGCCAGTATCGTGCTATGTGAACTGCCAAAATTCCACCAGAATAAGTCTGTATTTTTGAAGCAGCGAAAAGGAATTTACTCTTCATTTCTGTTTGAACCATAAAGCGATCAGTGTTAGGACACCACTGAACACCTGAAAGCAGTGAACCACTGTTTCGTCTTCTTGATTTAGTTGGAAAAGTTCAAGTTAGAGATACTTAACATTATGTTACTAGATAGACATTCAAGAAGTGTCACAGAACTCTAGTATACATGAATTAATGTCAGATACAATAACTTCAAGGTCATGATTCGCCTTCAGTATTTTGTGAATGAATGCTTACTTCAAGCAAAAAAATATCAGTCAAAAAGCTGCTAACACATGACATTGTGGTTAGGTAAGTGAAATATTTCACACTTAAATCAATTATTTTATGCAAAAACTGGTTCACTTAATCAACTCAATCTTAACTCTATCAGTTAATATTAATGATCATTACTGACTCGTGAAATTCTCAGTGAATATTCTTATATTCTTCATATTTACAATGGAAAGATTGTCTTTTTGGAAATAGTCAGATGAGTATACTTACATCCTAGTGTTAATGTTCACTACAGGACTAAAAACTCAGTACGTTTCCACACCAAAGGCGTTATCCATTGAGCAAGTGAGTTCAGAAAGTCATTAACTTGTTCAGCGACTAAATAATTAGGGTTTGAATCTCCCCATTATTCATAATGAGGTTTGAATTGTGGTAGGATTTCGTTGGTGTAACTTTAATATTTTTAATAATGATATATTCATTGGATATTTTTGATTAAATGTTTAATACAACTAATGAAAATCAGGTCTAAATTTGATATCAATAAGTTGTATTTCACAATATTATTTATTCCAACTTACAACGCTAACCGACTTGTTAACGTCTTGTTTTAAAAAATTGAATTAAAATTTCTACAAATAAACAATTATATCTTATCAGTTGTGTGTTTTGAAATGTCTAGAAGAAATAAGTTGTCCAGATTATTCGTGAACAAGTTTCTATTTTATCGTTTATTTCTATTTTCTCAACGTTTACAGAAACTAGATGAAGTAAAATGTGATGATTTCAAATGTGCAAAAACACTATTCTCTATAACTATAACTGAAAATATCGTAACAGTGTTCACTAATGACTAGCTTCGTGAGGAAATTCTCGGAGTTCTAGTGAAAAGACATGACCATTGGAGTTCAACCCTGTCGGGTGTAGGCAGTAACTACCAACGATAAATGGGTGAGGTCGCGCAAAATCCATTGATTAATCAGAGTTTAAACATTAACACCGCTGGATGCCGGCCTGGTGGTCCAGAGTTTAGGCGTTCGCGCACAATACCGAAGGTCTCGGGTTCGAATCCAACGAGATGCAGGAGTCGTGGGTGCGCCCTGCTGATGAGTTCCATACCAGGAGGAAACTGCCGTCTTTCAGTGTTCCAGGTTTCTAATGGTGGTCTAACAATGATAGATTGATGATTTTAAATGTGTAAAAACACTAATCTCCATAACTGTAATTGAAAATATCTTCTGTATTTGTTCAAATTAAATATAAAATGGATCTGTTAAATCACGTATGAAACTTATGAAACTGAAACTGGATAAATGCCTTATTTCAGATATAATTTTTACAAATAACACTTTCAAATATTCACACAATAAATAATTAAAAGACAAGTGTTTGTATATCTCTTTTTCAAAACTATTGGTTATGACCAGAAATAAAACAGTGAATAAAGTTATTATTACGATTAGAATTACAGAAAAATAAGCGATAATTATCAAATATTATTAATTATTCATTGTCATACGTTAACTGTGTACAACAGACAATTGTGTAAAAAGTTTGTGATATTAGTTACAGTAATTTTTATTGTCAGAAGTTCAGTAACATTTAGATGGATTGTTTTAATTAATCAAAATTTTACTTTTCTGTTTTGCTTGAATTTCAGAATGTGCAGGGTGATGTTTTATTTGAATTTAATATCATTCCTCATAACATATCAAATTTTTTACAACTGTTCTCATGTAAACATTCGGAAGCTGATTCAAATGATCATACTTTCAACAATTCCAATTACCATAGAAAAGATGATAAAGTACTTTCACCGCTTTTAGATAGCTGTATCTTTGCTAAAGTGAGTTGAACTAATTTTAATATATTTTGTAATTAACAGAAATGCTACTATGAATAGAGAGAATCATTCAATCAATTGATGAAGCTAAGTTTTTTTAGCTCGCAATCGTTAAATGTGAGATCTATAAAATAAAATACATGCTCTATTATCTAACAATTTTAAACCTTAAAATTAAAAGAAAATTATAGTTTCATAACCTTCAGCAGTCACATGAAAGGTTAAGATCAGTATTTGAGATTTGGTTAAGTACGAGTTGATTTTCAGCTCTAAACACGAATTAAGAAACACTTAAACAGATAAGTTCAATTTTTTATTACGATGATTAGAAATTTAACGATTAAAATTATTTTCTAGCTAAACCATTCGTCACTGCCTGTAATGCTTCTTATGTGATGTTTATCCGAGATATTTAAAATACCGATGATATTCCTGTTTATTTGGTAAATTTATTAGTTGTGAAAAGTTTGAGATATAGTTAAATGTCAAAATGAAACAGACTGAATGAATAGTATAGTAGTGTGAAATATTTTTCATTCTAACGGTTTTAGTGACTATACTCAATTTACTCTATCATATATATTACCTATTATTGTTTATGGAGCTTATTTTGTCATTTATTTTCGGTGCTTGTTTTCTCTTTGCATTACGTTCCATGCCTGATTCTAAGTAGTGTGGATTTGGTTTTGTTGGTTGATAGGTGAAAAAAATTTTGAAATGCCTCAAAACGCTCAGTGCATTTTCCGAGGTGTTCTTGACATTGATTAATCAGGTCGATTTTCCGATTAAATGGGATAATGTTTTTATAGGAAATTGGTTCGATAATCATTTTCGATTAATTTACCTTGATAATCATTCTTCTTCTGCTTAGGTTTCAAAACAAGTAATTCTATTTATGTTAAATAATCTCGATATTCAGCTCAGTTAAAACTCAATAGTTAGCTCGATTAACTCGCCAATCAATCGATCAGGAGAAACACTGCTATTACATTTGGTCAGATGTCATTTTAAACAAAGAAATAATAAAGAAGGAGATGTAACTGCGTTGGTTTTATGGAGAGCTATTCCTAATAATGGAGTTAGAAACTAGAAGGAATCCCAAAAGCTTACTTTTTTTTCAAAATATTTCTGATGAAGTCCAAACTGCAAACAATTTAGCCGAGCAGAACATTTTCTTTTGTATTCTAAAATCACTTTCGTCAATATTATCCTTAGTCTTAATCATTCGCAGTTTTCTAACTCAGAAAAATTCCCTGTTCAAGAGTTATCATTTTCACAAAGCGATAAACAATAAGAGTTGTTACAAAGATTTAGGATTTGTGTTTAATAAATAGAGAACTCAGAGAAAAACCAGTGGTCAGAATAACAGGTAATGAAAGGAAGTAGCAAAAAATAAAATGTTTCTCTAAAAAGCACAAAGTTGGTCTTCGATCAGCATTTAGTGATAGGTAAGTAAAATGAAAGAGAACGTTGTTGGAAAAAAGTTTGCAAACTGTTATTGCTGTTCTTGTATGGATAGGTAGGGAATATACTCGTAAATGACTTATGTTTTAAAGATCACTCGTACTTGCTAGATTTATTTTCATCCATTAGAGTTTTCATCTATTTGAATTCAATGTCCAATATATTACGTATTATTTAAAAGGACTATTTAAATGTTATGAAAATATGTTAACATAATTCATGAATACTTTGAAATATATTTATCTTAATTTCCTGAATTTTAGATTTGTTTGTTACCATTTTCCGATTCGTGGAGCTTTAATGATTTTACACATTGCAAATACGAAGTTACCACTGAAATCTTATCTGAATTAAATTTCCTCAATAATAATTCCACGTACAACATATCAGTAGTGTATAAAGATGTTTGGCCTGTAAGTTCATCTATTGTTTCTTTCAAAAGATAATATATATAGCTGAGTACGAACAATTCCTAAAATGATAGGAACCATATATTTTTCTTTTGTTAGTGAACATGATAATGTTGAGCCAAACATATACAGCTATCTACTGTACTGAAAAACAGCACAGCAAATTGAATATTATAATCCAGTACACCATACTTACTACAAAAAACATGTTTACTCACCATTTAGTGACACCTAGCTCTGAACGTTTGAAAGCTTCCGAATTTTTATACCTTAACAACTTTACGTTAGTCTGTGATTTATTCCTTAAAATGAACAAATATACAATCACTACTCATTTAAACAATTTGCTGCAAACATTTGTAAAAGAAATATCATTAATTAGATTCCGTGTAATGTTTTTTATTCAATGAGAATAAGAATACGTCTTACCTTTTGTGTTTTCTAAATCATGCTTAGAACTGGTTGATAAAGAATGTCTGTCAATTTTCTTTGGCATATAAATTATATCAGCTTTTTATCAGGCTTGTATAAACTATGCAGTAATCAAGAATAAATTCTTAACCACTCAAAATGAACCTGTATCGTGATCATCAATACGTTATTTTGTCATAACATTTTAACATTTCTATTTAAGTTATTGAAAAAAATTATAAAATTCATTAAGAAATCACTCATTATCGGAAATATTGAGACTTTCTGTTTCCAGTGACTGGTTAGAGTGAACCAAAAATGTTACTGATTACGAAATCATAACTTTTAAACTGAAAGAAATTTATTTATCGGCACTACACTATGGTTGTTTTGATTATCGTAATCGTTTTCAGGAAATATTATTATTAAAACTTAATGTAAAATATTTTATTGACAGGTAGACATTTTATTGGTTACTCAACTGAAAAGATGTTGTATGATGGAGGCAAATTCACGTAAGTTTATCATCATTTTCAATGAAATCAAAATGTATCAGCAATTAAAAAGTCCTTATTGTGAAAATCCCCAACTAATAAATACCAGTTGAAATTAAACAAAAACATGAAAATTTGTTAAATTTAAACTAAATACTTTCGAGTTACTGCAGTCAGTGTGCCTTTTGATTGTGTACTCAAAGTTGAGATTATTGAAGATATAGTCCGTAGTTTAAATTTTTTTCTGTGCATATTTGTTTATAGTCGAATTCAGTTATTGCGCACACCATTGTTACTCGACCAAATTAATCAAACCGAATGAAAATGGGACAGTACAAATGAAGGCTGCATTACGAAAACCGAGTAAAAGTATTTTTAACAAATGCATACTTATAGGTTATACAGACACTAATCTATAATAACTCATTAGCGTGTCATAAATAATATGCAGTCGAGTTTTTCATGCTCTTAATATTTCACTTCTATTAAACAAAAACACTTAACATTACAAAAAGTTGATGAATATAAATTACTTTACCAATTTTAACGAAACATAGTTGAAGTAAATTTTCCGTGAAGAATTACTGTAAACCATGGGACAATGAATAAATATTTTTTTCTCATTCCAAAATACTTCAGCTGTGTTCGTCAGCAAGCTTACACGAAGTCAGTACTATTGTAGTGAAGGGGAACACAGGTGAGGGCAACCGAACTGTATTTAACGAAAATTACAGAGTTACTCAGTAAAATAGGAAAACCATATCGTAAATCGTTAATTTGCAAATCTTCAATCCATCATCAATCCATTGTCTGACATTTCACTTATTCATGCGTTTCATACAAATTCTACTGTGTTCCCACTCTTACTTTCTTGATCTTCGCCCATCTTCTGCTGCCAGACATTACGTTTACACTCGCGTCATTTACTACTTATAAGTAGCAAAATCAGTGTACCGTAGCACAGTCCTTTATATTTTAAACTCCAATTAATGTTTTGACATTTTAGAACAGTTCAAAAAGTCTATTATCTACTAAAAGAAACCTTTTCTTTTGGTTATTAATTTTTATGCAGCATTTAAAATGAATTTAAATTTCAAATTTAATTTTGAAACGTAACAGTTTAGCAGATAAAGTCGCTTTACCCTTCCTATTAACATACTCAGCAGTTAGTTTACAATGACAATGTAGCTTTTGAATCATTTTTCAACTATTTGAGTTTTAATACTAAATTAGTATCAATAATCGCCCTGAAAATATTTTAATTCAGTTAAAGATAAATAGATCTATAACTTGAATTATGATGCTCACTTTTTATTTGTCGTCCACATTAGATCTATTGTTGGTAAATGTTAGAATTATTCTATTCAAATTTTTTCATAGATAAATTAGCTAATTTCTGTTGAAATTCGAGCTATTTAGAAGTAACTTAAAATTTGAATGATTCATATTAAATTATAGTTGCACTTAGTTGTTAAGTACCAATAAAATGGAGCAAATTAACGCCTCAATTTAATTTGCTTACGCGCGTTTCTCTTGCAATCAGCAACTGATTTATACTTCGACATTTTATCTCCACTGATTTAATTACAAATGTTATTTTAGAAAAAAGAAACTCGACTTGATTATCTCATATTTGTTTATTTGAATTTCAGAAATTACTGAAACTTGGTACGCTTTGTCATTGAAAGATACACATCCATCAAAACAGAAATATAATCAAATATTGAAGAAAATTCCTCATTCAAAAAATCAAAATGACGATGATTTAAGCATTCATTATCGAATATTATGTGATAATAATTTTTATGGTAATTATTGTGAAATATTTTGTCAAGAACAAAGTGGAATTCATGGACATTATAGATGTGATGAACAAACTGGTAATCATGTATGTCAACATGGTTGGACTGGTAAGACATGTTCCGAAGGTGAGATACTTTGATATAAAAAGATTTAAACAAAAAAGAATCCATTTGATACAGTGGTTTTATTGAACATTTACTGATTGCAAACATAATCTTTTAAATTGCTGTAAGAGGCTTTAAAATGGCTTAAAGATCTTTAAGTAATGACGGTTTCAATATTCCCAATTGATTATATCTTGTTATCATCAACTCTTTTTATCTATCCACCCATAATGGAGAGAAATATTTCCATGTTTTTTTGAATAGCAATAGTATACTCGAAACGAAGCATTCAAAAAAATAGTTACAACGTGTGATGTTTTAAATCACAAGTTTCATATTGCGTAATAAATCATAACACTTTACATCATTTTAATAGAGTTGAGGTTAACAGAAGGTTTATAGCTGAGATTAATTTGGGTATAATTGTAATCGATCATGGTATGTGATTAGAATATTGATATATAAATGATGACATTGAAAGGTAGGCGGGTTCCAGATAAAAGATTTTCTTACTTAATTCTCTGTTACTTGAATAAATAATTTACCTAAATATCATTTAAAACATTGAATTAATTTTTGAATGATGTTGTATTTTTGTTGTAATTTAAGCTATCTGTGACCTTGGATGTCTACATGGAAAATGTCTGCAGCCCGGTTACTGTCAGTGAGTTTTTATATGTTGATGTATTCATATGTATAAATTTTGCTTTAAAGTATTGAATTTACAGTTTACAAAGATAGTTATGGTATCAAATTTTATATCCTAATTTCTTAGGGTACTACTATGCTTGTAATGTAATTGAATTTCATCACAAAATAACCACATTCATGTGGTGATGATAAAGTTTTTAAATGTTATCAATCAAAATTGATTCATTCTAACAAGACTCTTTTTCTATAACATGTTTAGTTGTGATGCCGGTTGGTATGGGAAAGATTGCAGCCAATGTCGTGTTTATCCTGGATGCCTCCATGGTGGCTGTGAAGTTGATGATCATAACTATACACTTATTCCTTTCACATGTGAATGTGATCATGGCTGGGGAGGCATGCTATGTGACAAAGGTAAGATTATATATATATTTAACAATGCAATAATCCACAAAGCGGAAGACAGGAAAGATGATTGAAAATAGTCATTATGATATCATAGAGACGAAGTTAAAACTTTATCAACGGAACATGTTTTCTGCAGATGATATTAATTTTTATCTCAAACCATACATCTATTCATCCGTCACAAGCCTCCAGTTTCTATCCTAGCTTACAAAAAGGTGAAATAGAAAACTTTATAAAACTCCTTGTAAGACTATCAACCATCCTATATTAACCTTAAATGGTTCCTGCTTTTCATGTCATTAGGTTGATTTCGCTCAAAAATTACCTTGGTTACAATACAAGTAATGATTTTATACTTACAGATGTCCACAACATTGGTGTGGCAATGAATACCATTAAAGTAACTAGCGGGAACTGAGAAGTGCTGGGCCTAGTGAATAATGCAATACAAATGTCCAGTTAATCCTAATCTATTTTTGTCAGTTTCATAGAATCTTGATACGAATGGTTCAGGCATTTAAAAAGACGTAGAACAAGTTGAAACCGAACTAAATTTACATTTGATAGTAATTGTCCACGAATCGTCATCCGAAAAATAGGAAAATATTTTGTTTTCACCGCCTAACTATGTATGTTTAGCTTCTGTAAACATCGGATGTGATCTGACTTAGGGATTCGTTACTGCCTAATCGTAAATAAAGTATCAGATCTACCTGATTAACGAATCTAATTTTAATTGAATTTTGCTTCAGACCTACGTTATTGTAGTAGTCACTCGAATGTATGCAACAATAACGGAATATGTGTAAATAATGATGAAAATATTGGTGTTCCTTATCAGTGCATTTGCCCACCTGGGTTTCACGGTGATCATTGCGAAATAATTGATTATGACTGTAAAGTCCATGGATGTAATAATAATGGAGAATGTGTCGCTTCTAATGTAGGATCGGTAAGTGAATCAAGTATTATTTCGCCTAATTAATATTATAAATGTACATTATCAGATGATATTCAGGTAATAAAACCAAACATTTGAAAATACAAATATTTCAGATTTTCCGGCTCTTCAGATTGAAATAATTGATTTTTAAGTGAAAATTGTTCAAATTTATTGTACCGTGTAGATTACGGGTTAATTATTACGTTCTCATTGAAATGACCTTTAATATAAATAATTATGAAGTAACTTAGGGTTGCTGACGTAAAAAAAGAAATTTTACTGCAGTATTAGCTGTTTCTTTCCAACTTTCTTATAAAAGTCCACACTGTGAATTTAAACAAAGTAAATATAATTCTCTATTATAGTATAACTAACTATTAACTGCAGTTAACATAAGCATTCAAATTAGAATCGTCTGTTTCTTTTTAACTAAGTTTCATGAAGTGATATGCATAATTAGTTCACTAACTTTCATGTTTAAACATTCGTCGAAAAATATTTCGATTCATTAAATTCTTTGGCCGAATTGCCTCTTTTATTTCCATTTGTTATGCATAATTCCGATTACTGTTAGCTGTATACTTGTTATTGTGCGTGAAATAAATTAGGCCCGTTTACCTTTATCAATTACTCAGTAGTAACAAGCTTCATGTTGTCTAGCCTCTGATGAAGACACAATGTTGTTGATAGGATTGCTATGTCATCACCAATTCCAGTAACTTAATACTATTGTGTAGTTCGATATTATTATTAGGTTATTAGAATTAGTTGATAAAAAGCTTTTAAACTTGATTTTACGCTAGTTTGTACTCGTTAGAGTGTATTTATAATTTTGAGCGAACTAATGTTTTCTGTTGAATTAATCACCAGTGCTGTTTAAAGCAGTTTGTCGCATCGGGAATCTGTTTTATTTTGAAACACAATAATATTAAGACATTAAGGTTCAAGCTGAAATAGATGAACAGCAACATAATGTAGTCTAGTATTGGCTATAGAGTTCGTTTATCAAAATTTGACCGAAAAAAAGCTTCTAACTTATCAGATCTTAACGAAGTAAATAAGATTTATTAAAGCTACTTCATTTACTAACTTTGAAAATCAGAAACTAGAAAGAGGACCTTTAATAAAATAAAATTCTTTTATTTGTGTGTGGTTCTGTTTGAAATTATAAAATGAAGCCTTAATAAATTTTTCTGTTTTCTCAATATTTTAGACAACCTGTTACTGTCAACCTGGTTACTATGGGAATCTCTGTCAATTTAACCAAACAACTTGCGAAGAATTCCCGTGTCAGGCAACTGAGTCAATATGCAAACCACGAGAAATGAGTGATTTAGATTTTTCTTCAAATAATCAACAGTTTATATGTATCTGTCCTCCAGGATTTGAAGGTTCCAACTGTGAAATCAACACTAATGAATGCGCTGAAAAGCCATGCAAAAATGGTATGTTAAATTTCTTTGAACATCCACTAATTTTTATTTAGTGTTAGAAACGACTTGTTCTGTTGTTTTTGACATAGTAGATTGTGAATTATTTTTTAATTTGTTTGAAAATTTCCATTATATTAGAAAATAGATATGTGAAAGGCGACTGCTATTTTTAATGAGTCCGCCTCTTCTTCTACATTTTTGAGCTTGGTTCGAAAGCAATAGCCAAGTTTACAACAAGTAAATCGTTTAAATTGAATATTGTTGAAAAAATACCATTACTTTTTTCTAGAATGTGCGAGAAGGTTTATTATATTATGTAAACCTTAATCAGCTGGTGGACCAAATAAGAATGAGAGTTGTAAACAGGGTGACAGAAAAGATGAACTAATTAATGATCTGGTCAAATGTTCATTCAAACATAAAATACTACATGAATCGGTAGAAATTAAGTTGAACGTAGTATAATAGACATTTGAAACAGTTTTTGCAAAATTGACGATTTACCTGTAACGAATGGATGAAACAGTTTATTTATGTCGGACTTCTATTCTGCATAAATGTTTCCAATAATTTTTTTGTAATATTTCTGCTTGTGATTGAAACAAATTGAGTTTTCCAGGCATATTGCACAAATTATCATGAATTATGCAAACGAAATATCCACGAATTCCTATCAATAACCAGTATGCGAAGACAGGCGGATAATATAACAATTGATCGACTAATCTAGATGGAGCTGTGATAACTCATCAGTTTAACAGAGTTGATTCCAAGGAATCAGAAATTAACAGCTTTGTTTCTACTAATAGCTACAATCAAACAGATCAATTTATGATTTATCTACATTTTTCTCACTTTAAATAAAGTTATACTTAAAAGTCGAAGAAATTTATTTTTCTTTGCATGTGAGAGGAATTTGTCCTTCACAAAACATTAATTATCCTTAAAACTGACTAGTTAATAGTTACAGTCAACATGATCCTGATGATTTTAGGATAGATGTAAGTGAATGTATGAAGTGAACTAGTTGGACTTACGAAATCTTTAGTGAAGTCATTAATCTAGTCGCGAAATTATATGGTATAGTTGATTAGCAACAAACCACATTTAGTACTTTAAAATTATGTTATTATGTTTGGTGTATAATGGATGTTTTATTTTACTCTTGATCGCTTAAATTACAGGTGGACTTTGCAAAGATTATGTGAATAGTTATCAGTGTATATGTCCGTCCGGTTATAATGGAGATCATTGTGAAATTCAAGGATACAAATGCATTACAAAGCAATGCCCTTTTGGTTATGAATGTTTTACTAATAGTACAACATCATTATGTATTTCTTCCATTTCCCACAAGTCAACAGTTTTACACTCCTCAGAAAGTCAAGCCAAGTTTGGAATATCACTTGAAGATGTACAGCCAGCTTACTCAAAGTTTACACAGTTCTCGCATGGTCTTTCAATTGTGATACTGACTATATCAACGTTTTTTGTTGTAATTATATTACTTCTTGTATTCAAGTATGTCATAAGGCTAAATCCATTCAAACAAATCACTTATTATGATCGTGAATCTGATATCGAACTAAATTGTTCTCGAAATTCAATGAGCACAACTAGCAATATTGCATTTAATCAATTCAAAGAAATGAAAGAGAACTGCCATTTGAGTAGTAGTAACCTGTACATTGATCATTTGGATAAAATGAAAAACATAAAGAAATGATTATTCGTAAAGAAACCAACTCACTGTATTCATTGAATATACAGATTTAAATCACATTAACTTTCACAACTAAAATGAATCGGCTACAATATATATATATATATATATATATATATATATATATATATATATATATATATATATATATATATATATATATAAGAGATCACTTATTAGTTGCTTGGATCCCCAATCAACTTAATGCTGAAATGAATTTTCACATTTCACTTAACTGTTTATTAAATATTTGAACTTCATTTTCGTTCGGACAACAATGTGTGTACTACAGAACAAAATTCAAACGTACTCTAAGCTTGTTTTCTGAGTATTTACTGAAGCATTAAGCTCACATAAATAAATTTTTAGATTATTGTTCACTTCTTATTTAATTTGCATTAATTATTATCTACCTTTATTATTCATTAAATTATTTGTGAGACAAGTTCAGAGACTTTCAACCATCCCCAGTCCTGCAATTCTTTTTGAAGTTATAAAACAAACAACATTGTATTGAAGATGTAATCAAATATATCTTACAGTTCCTATTGTCGTAATACCAAACTAATTTAGGTAGAGACAACATGATTAAATTTGAAGTGAGAAGACGTAGTTGATCTGAAAAATGTGATGTATTTGCGCTATACTTTTCGAACAATCTGGTCACACATACTTGTTAAGGCATTTTATATGAAGATGAATAAAAGGTCAATTAAATAAAAGTTCAAATAGACATAAGGTGATAATTGTAAATAAAGGAGAGAGAAAAATAACGTAATATAGACAGAATAAGAAGGGGTAGGAAAATTGTCACATTACCCTAGGCTTAAAGATTACCAAGGTAAATTCATAAAATTTATAAAAATTTATATAAAGGGACTAATTGTTTTAAATTAGAAGTGTCACAGCTTCGTGATGAGTAGAAGTGTTGTAAGCTTCTGATTGACTTGATGGCTCAAGTGCATTTTTATCAGAATTCGCTACCACAAAAGAAGTAATCATGTGAGAAAAAACTGACGGAGACAGTTAACGGAATATGAACGATTAGATGTGAAACACATGTATTTAAGACATACGTATCTATTCTTCTTTTGTATGAAAATGCTTATTCATCTATGTAACTGGGCTAAGGCAGCTGATACTTCCTAATTAAAATATGTGTATTTCAAAAGCTGCTTTGATTGATAGAAATTATGTACGATAACAAGAGACCTATCTAGACAGTGTTTCCAAGTTTCAAGGTTCTCGTTCTTTCCACCCTTTATCGTATGCGATTGCTCGGAGATGAACGAACAGGCTCCGATTTGTTACAGTTATATTTAATCCTGTACTCTTGTTATCCATATCGTTTCTTGCTGGTTCCTCGGTGTTATAGATAATCTTGAAAATAAAATGGCTGATGAATATTTGAAGGAGACATAAGAGATTTTATTATAAACAAATTTCTGTTCTTCAACAACGCCAAAAAGTTCAATATCCAATATCTTTTTCACGAGCTAGTATAAACCAGTTTATTTCGTTGGGCTCGATTCTTGTTCTTTCGGTACGGTTGCAGGTGTTTGGTAGTGTCCAGTGAATGGGTGTCTAGACTCCCTACTGTCTAATTCTAGTCAGTTAGAATTTGGTTGTGAGTTTGTATGTCTCGTCATTTGAATGAAAAAGTTTGTTTCAGGGCAGTAAGATTTCTGGATACCAGCAGCTATCACATTACCAGACCGAGGTAAGTTATTCGCAGTATGTAGAATAATAAGGAGAAAATTCTAAGAGGATTTCAGAACTAAGTAATATTTAGATAATTTCGTTTATTAATTGGTAGTGAAGATTGTGAGAGAGAACCGAAGTGTAAGCAAGGGAGAGGAAACAGATATGGATGCGCGTATGTCTTAAATAACCTTAAGAATATTTGTGCGGCGATAGCACCAAATTGTCTTCGCACAAACTGAAGAGTTGCATTTGCCTTTGCTGCGTCCCCTGTATAGTTCGCGCTGGTATGGGGCTTTCAGTGGTTATCAAATCGAGATCGCGCTATTAGGGGACATTAGGGAGCGGACTTCCATTGAGGGTGTAAGTCTTTTGCGTCATGTGGGGCAGAATATACATTACGTGGCACTTCAGTTGGTTGAGTTTTATACCGTTTTTGACTGCTCATTCCTCAATGGATGTAAGGTCATGTTGAAGCTGAGCCGAATCCTCTTCTCTTCCAGCGGACTTCCAGATCTTCGCCTCGTCTGCGTAGATCAATGCCGGTGAGCTAACTGATCCTAACAAGTCGTTAATAAATATCAGGAAGAGAAGTGGACCTAAGATGGCCCTCTGTGAAACTCCCGATGTTGAGACTCGCCAACTAGCGTACACTCTATTTACCTTGGTACAAAAATTTCTATTCTGAAGGTAGTTTCTGAGCCAAGATACAAGTCGGTCAGTAAAGCCCATTTCCGCAACTTTGGCGATTAGGCGTACGCAAGGTACTGTGTCGAAGGCTTTTGCAACGTCGGGAAATATAACGTACTTTTCGGTCCGATGCTATGAGAAGATTGGATGCGCATGACCTGCCTTTCGGAAACCTGTGTTGAGCTTCATGGAGTATTTTATTTTCATCCATGTACCCACTCATTTGTTCATCCACCAGCCCTTCCATTACTTTTGATCGTATTGGTAGTAGTGCGACTGGTCTGTAACAGGCTGGGTCCTTCCTATCTCCTCCTTTGAAGATTGGAGAAAGAGTAGCTTGTTTCCATTCAGCTGGGAGTTTGTGTGACTGCAGTGAATGCCTGAACAGGTCACATGCCAGTGAACTGAGGGCTTCTTCACACTGTTTCAAGACTTTGAGGCGAGTATTGTCAAAACCTGGTGACTTTCCTTGGCGTAAGGTGTTTTAGTTTCCCTAGTATTAAGTCAGGAGTAATACGGATATGCCTAAAGCCGTCAGTTGGTACTGGGTGAATGCCTGTTTTAACTGATCTGTGAAGTTTGAGTTGGAGATCTCAGCCAACTCCAGGTTATTCAGGTCTTCCCCATTCGGACTTTTGAGAGCAACAGCCGTTGTCGGATTTTCAAACACCTTGTTCTAACCCAGTTGTGGCCAGTTCCTTGGGAACTGGCCTCTGCAGAATTTTAGCCTGCGCAGTGAGTTCAGTCGGCGAGGCTATTATCTTCATGTCTTGTGCCAGGGGTTGTTGATCGATGACAACTTCAAGAGTTTATTATGGCCCGCCTGCTCTTGTCTCACAGATCTAGGTCGTCTTTCGAAACACCTAATGTGGCTAGACAGGTCGTTCTGCAAACTGTACCAAGCTTGAAGTGCCTCAATCAGGTCTTTCCGATTACTGAATTCCATAACCATCAGACGTGCTGACTTGATGAACGTGAGATGTGACGGCTGAGGCCACCTAGAAAATGGCTATCGTGGTTTGAATGCTCAGGCTACGTGATAGCCACCGCCACTGTTGCAAATCATTCACGTGAGCTTCGTCCGAACTTCCACCATTCAGTTTGGGCAGGCCGCGGAGCATCATGCTGGTCTTCTCTTGGATGCCGCTCGTACTGACCACGGTTTATCGTGACTGATGCTGATCGTAGAGGACAATTTTACTGATGGTCTATGAGATGAGAAGAGTATATCTTCGGCAAGTTGTGCCAAGTCTAGCGTCATCCTCATTGGTGAGGGTTTCCCTTTCGAGATGTTCTAGCCTTTGTAAAGGCGGCATATTTTTGCTAGGTTACTGAACATTTTGAGGATTACGCAGTATTTATCCCACTGATCTTTATCAAAGGCGACTCTACCTTCTAATAAGCCAGCTTCCGAAACTGGAACACTAAACAAAATGAGTGAATCTAATCTCTCGTCCCTGTCCCTTATTGGCAGCTGCTTGTTAGTTGAGGTTTTGCCGTTCCCTTTTATAACATTCACTCATTGCTCCGTATCGTTGACGATAGTTCTTGCACGAAACTTAGAACAACGCCATTATCACCAGCAAACTGGTCATTATATTGTTTGAGTAAAATAACAAAGTAACTTAAGGATTGAATAGCCCTGGTTGAGTTTCTACACCAGCAATCTTATTCTGCTTCGGTGAATAACTGAATGAGACTAAAACAACGTCCAACCATCAGTACGCCAGCCTCCTCAACGCTCATAATAAATGAGTCGAGACTCTTGTCACTTGTAATAAGGTGAGAGCGGCCATTACTAATGGGATTGGCCAAAGGAGCTGACGCGCTGATACCGATTATCTTGGTTGGTCCTCCATCATCCGTCTTTCCCGCGCCGATGTCTCCACTTTGTGTCTTCGTTTATAGTCTGGATTAGAATATAGTCCCAGTGAGAGCATGTTATGTAAGTACGGATGATTTTTATTCCTGTTGTTTTAACTCAGACGGCTAAAATGTTTGTTCCGGAAAACTGAGCTTTTCCAATTTATCGAATACAAAGATTTGTGCCACAGTTTATTCGCTCGTTCTGGTTTTGACCGTTAGAGAAAATTTTAGAGTTGTCATTAACGATTGTGATAGTTGTCCGTACTTTAATTGCGTACCAGGAAAGAATTCAAATTCAACAATCGGATAGTTCATCACACACTTGAAAAACAAAAGTTAACAAGACATTTCTGATAGTCTCGGAAATAGTCAGTGTAACTTGAAGGAGTTTTGTTGACTGCATTGTAAAGAACCCATAAATTGGGTGGAGTTACAAGCGTTAAGGTCTTGTGAGAGGATGAGCTACTTTGATATATTCGACATCACCTAACAGTTTGAGTATTCAGAAGTAGATCTTCTACCAGTTGGCTCGCTTATCGACTTAGAATATGCCGATGACATAGCCCTACTTGATGAAGCTGACAAAATGTAGAGTCTTCTGACTACCATAAGCAACAATGTAGGCATGTTCGTAGTGCGGTTCCCTACCCCCCCCCCGAAATGCGAAATGTTGCTTGAAGAGTGGGTTGCATCGGCACCTGATCTAGTGATAGAAGGTGAAATAGTCGAGCGTGTTGACGACTTCACTTATCTGAGGAGTCTCATCAGTCTTGATAGCCTGATGACTAAAGAAATCTCAATGTGGATACAGAAAAAGCTCGATTAGCTTTTGCCAATTTACGCCGTTTATGGTGTAGGC